ATATGTGTTTAATTGTGTGTGTATACCTTATAGATTTTGGAGACTCTGTTAAGTTGATTAATAGCTTCAGCTCTGGTCTGAGGCCGGTTAAGCAACTTTATCAACTGCTCAATTTCAGGACGATCAGTTGCGGAGAAGGTTTGTTTGGTATTCCATTGAGTGGTAGAAGAAGAAGAAGAAGAAGCAACTTCCCTAGGATCCACATACAACGATTCAGACAAATTCTCCATTCAAATTCCTTACTTACAGATCGATCAAAACCTGCAATTCTCTCTCCCGATCGAGCTATATATCTATATATATGTATGTATGTGTGTGTTTGTATATATATATATATATATATATATATATATATTTGTGTGTTTATCGACAAAGTATCAGAAAGGGAGCGAGAAGAAGAGTTTACAACTACGGGCGACATGGGAGCGAGACTGGTGACAGAGGGAGATGCTAGGATGACCAACARCGTCAACATGATTTCCACGTGTCGTTCATGCAATAATTTGATCTTATTCTGGATGTCGGGTTGATTAAATTATATCAGTTGGATCACAACCCTTGCGGGTTTGTTAAGAAAGTAACCAACAATATCASATGTCTCTCATTCTTATGAAATTGAAAAATATAAATTTTTTATTTATTTTAGATTTATTTAATTCATATTCATATGCTTATACTGATTATATATATTTATGTGATTGATTGATATAAATAGACATATGATAATTTTGGATATGTGATTTTTATCTAAAATATATGGAATATTACCTAAAGGGAGCGGAGGTCATGTGTCTGGTATCCATGCATGACTGGACTGGTAAAATGATCAATTTATCTTTAATAAGTTGTTTTTATATTTTTTTATTTATAATTTTACATTTATTAAATTATAATAAAATAAATATTTTTTATAATTAGAAAATACACAAAAAATATGAAATTTATTAATTTTCAAAATTTATATTATATATTTTCTATATTATTATTTTTATTATTAATATTTAATAAATTATATAAATAAATCAAAATATAAAAAAGTTATAAATATAATATTTTGATGGTGGTAAAATGAATGTTTAAAAATATTAAAGTTTGCTAATTTTATACTTCCTATTCGCAAAATAAATATCCGCAATGAAAAAAAACACAGTTTCAAAATATATAATTATTATACTTCTAATTAACTAAATGAAAATTTTATCGTTAATAAAAAAATTCTCCTTTTTATAATTAAATGTAGAATGAAAAAGTAAACAATTACTTTTAAAAGTGGATCGTTATTTTGGACAAACTAAAAATAGAAATATGAACACTTATTTTGTGACAAAAAAAATAAATATATCCAACAAATTATCTAAAACAGAAACGATGAAACTTTTGATGATATTTGTTCTCTAACAGGTTCTCCAAGTGAATTTTCCAACATATAATCTATTATTTTCTTGGAAATAAAGAACCAAAAGATAAAATCTCTAAAAAACAGTACACTCCGATTCCACAGATTCTCTATTTTGATAAATTCAATATAATGTTTTATTAAAATATTATGTAAATTAATTATCCTAATTATATTTTAGATTTTATATATTTTAAAATGAGATGTTTATTCTCTATTTGATTATGTTCATCCGCAGTTAGTTACACGAATTTAAACATAGAACTTTAATAAGTTGTATTTATGCACAATTTACTTGTAATCTTGAATTGTAAGTAATATGCATCAATAAACAGTACTTCATGCATAAAAAATGATTTTTAAGAATTTTTGTCGAATGCTTTATAATATAGTATAGATATATAGAGTTTTTTTTTAATGTATTAGGATGATAACTTTTTAGATTATTTTAGTGATATAATTACTTTTAAAATATTCAAAATAGATAATTTGTTGGAGAAAGGTGTAGTTTTTTTAAGATTTTAACTTTTATTTATTTAATTTAGAGAAATTATGAAGAATCTATTGAAAGAATCTCTAATAACTATGCTAAAATAGAGATCTTAAAAATATTTTTGCTTTAACAGATATATTATAACATTTGATAAAATATAGAAAAATTAGATGATGAAAATATTTAAATTAGATTTTTTTTTGTAAAACTCCACATTTAATTCTTCCTCAGCAATAAGAGTAATTCAAATTAAATGTTTAGGAGATCGAAATAATATTTTATTAAATATACTGAATATTTTAATAATATAATTAATGATGAAACCTTTAAAATTGAGTAACTGTTGGAGTCAGGTTATTATTATTTTTTTAATCTTGGTTTTTAATATTTTATTTAAAAAAATTATAGATTATCTGTTGAAGATGCTCTAAATATACTTCTATAACAACTATGTTTGTTCAAACCTAATTATTTTGATATTAAAGCATCTTTAACTGGATATGTAATTGTAATTGGATTGGATCAGATTGAAAATTTCAACATCCAATTTGGATCTCGGATGACAGTCCAAAACCGATCAAAACCGAACCGAACCGATCAACATCCAATTATCCATCCAACTAATCATTTGATGACCATCCCGTTGTTCATCAAACCAATATCCAACTATCATCCAATTAATTTGTTTTATGTGAGGCTTTGAATTTTTAACTTCCCTTGTGTTAGTTTTAACACATATTAAAAGTGATTAATTAATTAATTTGTATCATTGTTGGAGAATTGAATTGAATCAACACATTGGATGGATCCAATGCCATCGGATCATTCACTGGATATTTGATGGATATCCAATAAAAGTATCCAATTGATGGAACCGAATCGAACCGATCCAATTATCCATTGCATTGGATTATATCGGTTATCCAATGTTAATCGGATCAGAGCAGTTGGCAAAATCCAACATCCAATGGATGGTTGGATCGGTTCTGTTCTCCTCACATCCAATGGATGTCAACCGATGAACAAGTCTAATCCAGATTACACAAAATGACAAGAAGAATCTAAAAAGGAAGGCCAAAACGAAATGTGCCTAGAAAACGATTATGGATCGAACATAAAAACCCAAACAAATATGTAAAAAAGAGTAAAAACAAAAAAAAAATGTCCAAAAAACACATGCTTAAACAACGTTTTTAGGCTTCTAAAGTCAAGTTGAAGGGATTTGAACAACACATCTCAATTCCAAGCTTCGATTTGATTGGTCATGAGTCTGAAACGAAGTTCCGTAACAATAGTTATAGCACGACACCCCTTTTTTAGCCCGATCATGGGACTTCATGAACAACAAGGCCCGATCCTCCACACCAAAGCCGACATCAAACTCCCTACATATGTGAGTGATGATGTAAATTAAGGTAGGGAGTAAGTTATAGTTGGTGATTGGAGTCGTTAAGGTTGTAGACATGTTGGGTTGACTGGTTGAAGACATTTAAACAATCCAACTCAATGTTTGTGGTTTGAAATGCTCAACCATCCAACACAAACTGCACGGGTTGATTTGAATTAGGCGAGTTGAAACTTTGATACAATATTTTACAATCTAGTAAAACAATTTTGTTAAACTAAGGAAAATCAAACGATAATATACAAAAAAACCTAACAATTAGATAAGAGATGTTAAGAAATAATTGCATGAGGTTTTATATTAAGGCTAACAATATTATTAAAAGTAATTAATAATATAACCTTTAAAAACTTTAATATTAAAATGATACTTAGAGGTTGTTTGTTTACCTCTTAATAGATCCATTAAGAGGCAGTATCTGAATCGTTAAGAGATGAATCTTGTTTGGCAAAAGAAAAGTCTGTCTCTTAATGATTCTAAAATCCTTGGATTGATTTTGCATAATGGACCTCCCTTGACCATTCAACGACCTAATTTCATTGTAACGAATTACCAAAACAATTATATTTCATTTTGTACTATATAATAAGATCTTCTTAATCATTCTGCATTAAACCATTCAACAACTGCATACATAAATCATGTGTCTAATTCTCTAAAACCATTGTGATGCTCTTTTGCATAATTGCACAAACAACAAAGCCAAACCTACAGACTTCCAAATTGTACTTGATGGAATCCCATATTTCCCATTTCCAAACAACCCTTTTAGGTATTCCCATAAGCATAGCAACACAAAAACACTACAAAATGCCTCTCCTAACCTAGGCATGTACATCCAGTTTTCACGAGACCCGATGTTAACCATACCGTGGACCAATGCTGTCAGGTTGACAAGTAGAATGACGACACCTGGAACGATCATGGGTGACCTGTCATAAGTAAACCTAGGAGCATTTGCATCATCGTTATCTTCACCATTGGAGGAGGTTCGATCCTTTTGTGTTACTTCGAAAACAGTATGTGACAAGCCGAGGAGCTTGAGGACGACACTGAGACATGCAACTAACCATGCGGTCAACGCATTTACTCGTGCCATCCTCTGAAGGTTCCACCACATACGAAGCGAAATGCCGAGCAGTTTGAATTCCAAATATCCGTAAAGAGTATAAATGACGAAAATGCCCATAGGGATGAGAAAAGCCGATTCAGAGATCTTGGGCAAGAAACGTGAGTTCGTGATGAAACAATATGCGGGTAGAACGGCGTAACATATCTCTGGAACCGATCGTACGGCCCACAAACAGACCCATATGTAAGCAAGGGCTTGTCGGAACCAAAGCTTCCCATTCAAAGTAAGAAGTAGCGGATTCTTATCGGTGAATAAGATTTCGAGAAGCCCGGTTGCCCATCGTTTCTTTTGTGTTAATGCACTAGGATATGTCACAGGTGCACAACCAAGAAACGGGAGCGGTTCAGCTAGGCAAAAGACAGATTTCCATCCTCTCCCATGGATCGAGAGTCCGGTTAGGACATCTTCGGTCATAGATCCATACATCCAACCAATCTGAGCACAGCAAATCGTAGAATCCAGTAAACAGTCATTACTAGATTTCATAATTACATCAAAATTGGCTTTATAGAATTTCAAATATGTATAATAATTATAGGTCGGTACAACACTTCTAGTTTACCGGGACTTTTAGACATATTTAGCATCCTGTAAAGCCAATTTTGTTGCGGTAAGAGTATAATCATTATGAATTACCTGTTTGCCCCAGGAAGTACCATACTCATAGCGACAACCTGCAACTTGAATGGCTGCCTGAATGAAACTAGAAGGAATCCTTCGGTTTTGTATCGTTGCATTCGATCCTGATAATGTCTGAACAGCTGATTCTCTCATTTCAATCGATTTTCCAAACATATTACGTAGATATTCGTTATCGGTATCTCCTGTTTAACAAACAAATGACGAGTGAAATCAAATGATTGCATAAACAGTAAGAACATCGTTTAAATGGCATACCAGTTTCGATTGCATCATTCGGAGATGAACCATAGATAACCTTTCTTCTGTGAAAACAATTTGATCCAGAGTACATAGCCCCTTGAATTGACGATACTCCATTTAGCATGGACTGATTAAAACACGATGAAAAACTAGTGAATTCTGGTGATTGTTAGAAGAACAAGATTAAGGTTAAAGTGAATATATTACGCACGAAAAGATGCATCATCCGACTTCCAAAAGGGTCATCCTTCAATCCGTTGTGAAATGCTTGAGGGAATTGGATAAAAGCGCAGTCTTCTTCGTTCTTGAAACTGAACACCATACACATTGCATGGAGAAAAACTTGTGGATTGTTTGCATACATATCGCAGTCTACGTTGAGCATCAATGGTGCATTTGTCATTACTCCTGAGACTCTTGTCTGTTCACCCATTAGGAAATTAAGTCTCAAAACCACGTACACACTATGATCGATCTTTACAATTAACGAATAGATATATATATATATATATACATATACATATATGTATATATATATATATATATATATATATATGCAAAGGAATTGAAAGAAAGGTTAGTGATTACGAGAACATTCATAGCTCCAGCTTTGTAATGATGGTGATGCTTGGGGTTCTTCTCTCTTGAGATGTATATAACATGGGGAAGGTCGTTTGGAGTACCCTCTTTGTTCTCCGATACAACCTACAAAATTACCAAAAAAAAAAATATAGTAAGAAAATGGGTTCGTCATTTGAATGATCTTCTAAAAAAAAACCTTTTTTATCAGTCTCTTATGTATGATTTACTAAGAGATAGGATCATTCAGACTGCTTGTTTTAGTGAATTTTTCGTAGGCACTTATATCTTATTGTCCTATTATCGGGTAAGAGGTAAACTATCTCTTATTTACCTCTTTATATTGTTCTCCAGACCCCTCAACAACTGTGTTTCTCTAACGATTAATCTTAATCGATCATTACCGAATCGATCCTTATTTCTTTCAAATGATGTATTTTAGTAGGATTCAAATGTGTTAAATACCTTCAATGGCGTATTTTCTTTTAAATGAATGTTGATTATATAATTTAGATGTAAATTTCGTAATGATAATGAATAAATATGTTAGATTGTATAAATTTATCTATAAATTCAACATTATAATTTTCAAATGAGTAAAATAGACAATTTAAACAAATTAAGATATTTATCAGTTTACAAAACAAACAGTTTTATTGATCGAATTTCAGACTTCAGCATCAATTCTTATCAATCACAAGTGAAATAAGACTTCGTACTTCATGACATTTTAAAAAACAAACGCCACCGTAAGTATTTTCCCAATAAAACAAACTCTTATTATCACAATAGACTCACTGTTTGTGAACCACCCAAATGCTAAATTATCACTATTGACATGTTTATCTCATTTGGGAATTTCGTCGAACACTTAGGATGCCAATAAAAGTTAAAACTTCATAACGACAAGTAAATTTCCTATATATGGGTGTTCTTCGATTTATATTAAAAGGATCTAGTAAAAAGATTTAGCCTCACATCTAGATTTGAGATCTTAGCATATATCATAGCACCAAATTTGTGTAGTATGTGTGTGTTTTAGCCACAAATGGGAAAGATTGGACATACTAGTACCTTGATGATAGTTGGATGGTTCGAGCGGTGGACATCAGTGAAATCAACAAAATCTGAATCACGATCACATGGGAATTTCCTTTGAGCTGCAATCTCGATCTTTTTGTAAAGGTTTCCATATTCCTTCTGTAATCATTTGCAAACAAGAGAGCATGTGAAATGTTGGTGATTTTAGTATCGTATATCATTTGGTTTAATTGTGATTTAATTGAGATCGAATAAGATCATAAGCAAATAATGTGAGTTAGGAGATATTGAGTGCACACTCTTTAATATTGCCTCTATCACCTTAGATCACCTAAAGGCAGGAGTCAAGGGGTTGCGCCCCCTTGCAGGATTGAAGGGGCTGAGTCCTTGGTGGTGGTCAAAATTATATTTCGTTCAAAAATAAAAACATTATTATTTTTTAAAACCATGTAAAATCGTATTATATCGACAGAGAAAATTAATAAAATTAAAAATTAAAATCTAGATATATCTTGCTACATTGGACTAGAAGGGTACTCGCCCAATGCAGCGAGATAAATCTCGATTTTAATGTTTAGTTTTTATTCTTTGTCTCTATCGGTATAATACGATTTTATGTTGTTTTAAGAAACGTTAATGTTTTTATTTTTGAACTAATATAAATTTGAAGATAACATAAAATTTTGTAAAAAAATAAATCAATAATAATATCAAATTAACTATTTAATAATTCTCGTTTTTTTGGTGTAACTTCTTTAATTCAATTTTTATTATAATTTAATTTAGATTCAATAACAAAATAATGTATTTTTGGTTTAATAATATAATTTTTTATAAAGATAATAATTAAACATTCTGTTAAAACTCAATAATTATGTTAATTATATTTTAGATTTTCTATATTTAAAATGGATGTATATCCTATATTTGATTATGTTTATCAGTAATTAGTTACACAAATTTGATTATGTTTATCAGCATTTAATAAGTTGTACTTATGTAAAATTACTTGTAATTTTAAATTTTAAATTTTAAATAATATACATCAATAAATAATATTTCATACATAAAAAATAGTTTTTTCAAATATAGTATAGATAAACCATATTTCATAACGAATTTGGACATTAGAAATCTAATCTCATTAGCCACGTGTACCTTGGCAATACCATTTCAACTTGAATTTTGAAAATTGACCATTTGAAAAGCTTTTAATTTTCCCCTAAACTATGTTTCATATTCCATTTAATTTATTTCCAAATAAGAATTTTTTTATTAAAATATTAATAAAATAAATTTTACATTTATTAGCACTCAAAAGGTAACCAATTAATAATTATAAAAAGAAAATTGCAAGTTAAAAAAGGAAAATTCCAAATTACTACCTTCATCTTTTTCCATTCTTGTTGAAATTCTGAAGACTCGTCTTCGGTCAACGAGGGCTTGGGCGTAAAGTATCGAAAGGGAGCTCTAACTTGAACATTATACTTTTTGCAAAATGGGATCCAAAGTTTAGCGAATTTCATCGTTTCAACAAGTGAATAAAATGTAAGAGGTGAGCACCCGTCGTCAGACAAATAAAGAGCTAGTTTGTTGACCGGATAATCCACTGCTAACAAGGATAACACTGTGTTCATTGTTATGATACATGGTTCGAGGATGGGGTCCGCAGTAGTGACAAAGATGTCTACTGCAGGGAACTCTGATTCATTTACCCTGAAACATAAAAGGTATCTTGTTGGTGTATGTTTGGTAATTCACTGATCAATACACATAACACTAGAAATTCACGACCTTCATTTTCAAAATAATAAGCATTTATGCTTATTCTGAAACGGATTTATAATAACATCAACACATGACGTAAAGATATGGAATTAGAACCACAAGGGTGGTGCGTAATTGGTTTGAGCTTGACTCCAAAGGTCAAAAGTACCAGGAGGTCCCAAGTTCAAATCCAATGAGGAATAAAAATCCCCTTGTGGCCACGGAGGTTCAAATGCAGTGACTCCGGGTTATCTGCAAAGTAGGTGGTCGCCCTGAGATTAGTCGGCTCGCATAGCGGGTTGGATATCCAAGTTAATGAAAAAAGATATGGAATTAGATCGTATAGATGTAATGTTTTAATAAAATATAAAAAAGATAATTAATAAATAGACGACAAACTTAAAAAAAAAAGAATCAAGGCAAAATCCATCTTCCTATCTTCAAGTGGAAAAGGAAGTCGAAGACAAATAGTACTACAAAATACAAGTCGAATTTACCTGTCCAAGAATCGTTCGGGATACGTTTTGTCCATGCATTGAGTCCATTTTGTACTCACAACAAGAATCCAGTTAAAAGTGAACCACGACTCACACAACAACGCAAGCAGCCATGGGAAGCAGTGGTCTTGGTCTTTGAAGGTAACGACTCGATACACAAGCAAGAAGACGAGAAGGGAAAGAATCACGAGCTCTATGGCTCTGGGGATCTTGTTATTAATAACTATTCTTTCTCGTACAGGAGGAGAACCCGAGTCTCGAGTTTTCGTAGCCATGGTCATTTGGATGAGTGTTTGTGTGCTTTCGGGTGTGTTGAGTTAATTGGGTATTTATACAGAGGATTTTTCCAAGATTCGATGAAAAATATCCAAATGCATAATTTCGGGCTATCTGTAAAGCAGATGGTCGTTCTGAGATTAGTCGGCTCACATTACGGGTTGTATGTTCAGGTTAATCAAAAAACAAAAAAAATGATATATATTTTTTCATTTAATTATATAGTTAAAATATTTAATACGGTTATTAATTTAAACATTTATTAGTAAGATAATAAAAGTCAAAGACAGAAAAAATGATATTTTTGTATTTCCATTTAATTATATGAGACAAATTATTTTTTATTCTTTCTATCAATGAATTTTTTTAATATATTAGAAAGAAAATAATATTTTATAAAAGGTAGTAAATATTTAATGATATAATTAATATTATGAATTTAAAATAATTAATAGCGTATTAATTAGTGCCTTCATGCTTTTTTAGTTTCTATGCTTGTGAAAAAGCATAAAATAAAATATAAATGTAATTACTTTTTATTCCGACAATTTATTAAAAAAAGCTATCTTATTTTGAGAAGAAAATTTAATATATCTATAATATATCATAAAACATTTAATAAAAACTTTTAAAAACCATTTTTATGCATTAAGTACTTTTTATTGATGCATATTACTTAAAATTCAATATTACAAATAAATTGTGCGTAAATACAATTTATTAAAACATATCATTAGGATAATTATCGATATCTGACAAAATAATTAATTATTATCTTTATAAGAAAATTATCTTATTAAATCATATATAAATTATTTCGTTATTGAACATAAATTAAATTCTAATAAAAAAATTATTAAAAAATTACACAAAAAATGAGGAAATTTAAATAGTTAATTTGATACTAATATCGATATATTTTTGTCAAAATTTTATAATATCTTCACATTTATATTTTATTTAAAAATAAAACATCATCGTTTTCTCAAAGTCACATAAAACCATATTATAACATCAACTGAGATAAAAAAAATAAAATGAAATATTAAAATCAAGATGTATCCCGCTACATTGCGCGAGTACCCCTCTAGTGTTAATTAAAAGATTTTAAATTAATTATCATATTTAATTTATTATAATTTTGGATTTGTTAAAACAGATTTTAGAAAAAAAAAACTCTACATTAATTTATGATTTTAAATAACCATTATATATAATATGAACAAAACAAAATTTGTCAACCTTACATATTCTAATTAATTAGTATTTTTAAGAATTGACTAAATTAAATATTTTATTAAAATCATTTAATACAATTTTATTCTCTATGAAACTTCAATTTTTAGATTTTCCATCATGTGGTTTGAAAAAAAATTGCGCTTTCAGTCCTAGTGGTTTTCAACTTGTGACTTTCGTTCTTATAATTTATAATTTATTGTTGTTTTCGTTCCTAATATTAAATATATTAAAACCATCCACTAATTTAGGAATATTTTAGTTTTTATTTAAATTTTTTTTTTGGTTTATTAAATATATTTTTTGGTTTCTCATTTTGGTATTTTAGTTTTTTGATGTAATAAAACTATTTTTTATAAAAAAATTATATTATTTTGTTATTGTTTATAATAGAATAATTAATATTTTTAATACAATTAATTTTTTAATATATTTTTTGTTATCATAATTTTAGCTTTTTATGAGTTCGATTTCTGCCATTAACACTATTCAAATGCAAGCCATTGAGTAACACTTACCCGGTAAACACTTACCCATTAAAATGTAACACTATTATTACTTACAGGGTAAGATTTTAGTCCACCTAAACGACATCGTATGCAACAATTTACCCGGTAAGCGCTTACCGTGGTAAGAGTCGTCGCCCTCACTTACCGGGTAAGACTCTTGTTTCTTGTCTCGCTCTTACCGGGTAAAATTTTTTGTCCTTACCATATTCATCGGATGAGGTAAATGTTACCCGGATAAGCATTTGGTAAATGACCTCTTATATAAATGTATTTTAATATTTAATTGTAATTAATAATAATATATAAATATTAAAATTAATGAGGTTATAATTGGAAAAAACGATAAAAAGCTTCCCAAAAGCTACTCCAATTAATGTTCCAATAAGTTGGCTTATATGTATCCAAATTTATTAAGAAGAAAGTTTGTTAGTTGACCTTGTTATAGGCAGCATCATACAAACCTTGCTAGCCTCAAGCTTTAAGTCCACAGGCAAATGAGTTACCGTTCTTGCATTGGTGAGCATCTAAAATTGCATAACCACTTGTTATGGGTGGTCTAACCGAAGATCTACCACAATCACTAAGGGGCTGTTTACATGACATTAACCATATATATATATATACATATATATATATATATATATAGTTGGGATCATGTGAGATCAAAGGTTTTTCGTGAAGTCGATCAATAATCACAAAATTGTCATCGTGCAACTTTAGACTATTAGATCATTAATTTATAAAGTTGATCAATGAACATAAATTGGTCTTACGGGTCTCACGAAAAACCATTGGTCTCACGTGAACCCAACCATATATATATA